GGATAAAATACACTATAATTTCAAACATCACATACTAAGAGGCGTGCTAATCCGGGTGTGGAATGGGATTAAAGAAAAACAATATGAAAGGACACCGAGATGGGTGTCGCCGCTAGAAGCCTTTATTACACCAACGCTTATAGACCCTTGGGATAGAGAAAGTTATGACACCCTCTTGGATAAGAATAATATGCTTAAATCCAGGGAGGTGTTGCTGTCCCAGAACAAAATAAACCTATCTTGGTGGGAAACACTTCAACTACAGTCCAGATATGCCAAAGATCAAAAAGTAGGGTTTGAGGATGGCAAATTGCAGTTAGACAAAATATGGGCATCAAACAGTGACAAAATGATTCAAAAATTGTATAAATGGTTATTGGAGGGCCGGGTACAAGAAGAGGCTACTAATACAATGAAAGCTTGGTGTAAGGATGTAGGGCATGAAATAAATAGTGAGGACTGGAGGAAAACTTGGAAGTCTATAAAGATGGTGAGAAGTACCAACTACAAAGAAAATATATACAAAATATATCATAGATGGTACTGGTCACCTGATAAAATAGCCAAGTGCAATCCCGCATTTTCTAAAAATTGTTGGAAGTGTCATAATAACGTGGGTACCTTCATTCATATGTGGTGGAGATGTCCAAAGGTGCAGGATTTTTGGAAAATGATACAGAACATAATATGGAAACTAATAAATATAAAAATTCAGACCTCATAACTTTGTTGGTAAGGTAAATCAGGAGTATTCTTCATGGTGGGAAACTTCAGTTTCCACTAAAATAGTATATCACTGAATTTCTCAAGAGACAGAGATAGTGAAAATGTGTGTGTGCAGTATAAGGCTAAAATTAAAAGAGATGTTTCCCTCCAATCTGACCGTCTCACAGTCAAACCTGTGGAAAACAAAGTTCCCAAGCACACCAGGGTTCACCTTGAATTGGACTGTAGGGGAAGGATCTTCAGCACCATGCTATTTTCCTGAGCCAAAACTACCCCAGGATGCTATTTGCCTTATTACAGCACCCCTCCTCCCAAGGCCATTAGGGTCAGGAAAATAACCTGGTAAGAAGGCTGACCCCCCATCCCTGTACTACAATCTAGGGGTGTGCATTCGGCTCTATCTAAGCCAGAAAAATAGCCAGGAAATACCATATTGGTAGTTATCAGCTATTCTTTCAGACGGATATAAAAGGAGGTATATTTTCTGCTATCAAGCATATCCAATCCTGGATAATCCCCCCCAAAATTGGGATTATCTGGGAAAACAGAATAGCCGCAGCTAGATGGCATTTAAAGAGGGTGACCCCCTTTAAATGCTGTTCCAGGTGAAGCTGCAGCCTCACAAATGCATTTAAAGGGACTGTGATACTTTTAAATGCCTTCAGCTCCATTATAGCCTATGGGGATCATTATAGCCAACGATCCCCATAGGTGATAATGGGGAATCTGTATGGGGGTATATGGGGGCCGGGGGGGTATGTGTTTTGAGATAGAGGCACCAAATTTTCAGCGTAGCTTCTGGTGCCTCTACTCAAAAGATTCCCCAAGTTTCAAAAGGATTGGTCCATGGGGTTCAATTTTATGGGCCCCCAAAGAAGGTGCCCCATCCTCCATTATTTCCAATGGAGGTTTAAAAAAAGCAAAAAAAAAACAGGGACTGATGTCAAACTAAAGAGTCTCTGCAGTAGAAACTGAAGGGGGGGCATTTTTGCAGAACCAGTGCCACTGTGGCAATGCCAGCTCAACAAATCCAAGCAAGGAGGGAAGTTCCAAGCACAGCAAAGCCAGTCCATGTACAGAGTGCCAAGCAGTACCAGTGAAATGTACTTGTGCCCAGCAAAACACAGTGCCTTCCCTTACATGCTTTCTTTTTTCTTCCACTGAAAACAATGGAAGATGGGGACACCTTCTTTGGGCACTCTGCTGACCCCTCTCTTCTGGAATTAATTGATTCCAACCCAGAACAAGTTCAGACTGTCAGTGGTTATCTCTGTGACTGTGTGGAGATAGACTAGTATAGAGATATCGCGTGTTAAGTGGTGATTTATTAACGAAAGGGATAATCTGCATATCACTGCTGTCCTTTGCCACCTCTCTTGTTTCTTAGCTAAAACCCCTGGAATATTCAGTGTAGCCTATAAGGACCAGTGGGAAGGAAGAAATATGTGGAGGCCCCCTACCCCCCCCCCACATTAAAACACTGATTCAGGTAATTGCGGGAGCAAGCCTAAATAGGTCCACTCAAAGGTGTTATTCAGTGAGGCTTACTCTCTGAACGGTGCCCTAAGGATTGCAGCCAAACAGTGCTTGCCTAAAAATACTTTCATAAGAGCAAGGCCCATTCAATAGATCTGAGTAAGATTCTGGTAGACATGCTTAGGATTGCACTACAATTCTTGTGACAGTTTATGCTTCCTGAGGCATGCCCCTAATACTGGCTGCTCCATTTGCAGGGTGACAAGTTTATGATGGTTGCCATCAGTATTCCCTCTAAGCTGAGTTAGTGTGAGCTAGCTCACAGTTTTTAAGCCTCCGGCTCACATATTTTTGTCTTTGCTCAGGAAGGATGGCTCCAGAGCAAATTAATTTCTGCAGTAGCCAAATTGCTGGCTCACAGCTTTAATGCCAGTGGTTCACAAAGTAGAATTCTTGCTCACAAGACTCCACCAGTGTTCCCTCTAAGCTGAGTTAGGGTGAGCCAGCTCACAGTATCTTAGCCTCCGGCTCACACATTTTCGTCTTAGCTCAGGAAGGGACGGCAGCTCCAGAGCAAACTAATTTATGCAGTAGCCAAACTGCTCGCTCACAACTTTAATGCCAGCGGCTCACAAAGTAGAATTCTTGCTCACAAGACTCGACAGCTTAGAAGGAACATTGGACTCCACAGCTTAGAGGGGGCATTGGTTGCCATGTAATAATGATTCCACAAAACCAGATAGCTGCAACTGTTACATGAGGTAAGCAAATGTGAGAATGTAAGAGTTTTCAGACATCTGAAATTGTACATTAGCTCACTACTTCCAACGATTTACAGAGACCATCTCCACACAGGTTATCTGCTCTCAGTTTAATGCTATTGGGAAGTGGGGTTTTTCCCCTTCTTTCCCCAGCATCATTATGTATTTGTGGACCTACCAGGGTTTCCACATCTTTTCTCTAATCTTTCTCAAACCCACTTTGCTGCAAAGTTTTCCAAAAGGTCACAGTGAGGCCTGGATGGCTGCTGTGTGAGCTGTAAAGTTCGTATTTTCCCACCCATATGGCAGCCGTTTTCCCTGATACTGTCCTCTTGCTGACAATTTCCTCCCCCTGCCATCAGGCTTTTTTTTAAACATAGCAGTTGAAAGCTGTTATACTGATATACCGTTATATTGATATACTGTTTTAACAATACGTATAACAGGGTGTTTTTTTAATTCCTAGCTTTCACTTTTTTTAAAAAAAGTCAGTGTCTATACTCCTCTGTTGCAGAGATATAAGGGGAAAGGCAAACCTCTGCAACAAAAGAGACTAGAGGCTTACTTTAAAAAAGAAAGATGGATGGTGAGAGAATCTGTTTCATATACTATGATATTATATTGATATAAAGAAATTCAATTGTTGATATTTAAAATGAAAAAAGCCTAAGTGATCAGTGCTGGTTACCTGATATCAAGGCAATCAAAATGGTGGCCAGGTACTTGCAAATGGAAGACATATTATAAGAGTTTAGAAAGCTCTTTAAGGCATGTGCAGCTTGTCAAGCTGTTTTTCAAAAAAGCAGGAGGGGCAGCTAAGGGATATTTCTGCCAGCTCCTCGGTAGGGGTGGCAGAAGTAATGCTAAGGAGGGGTTGCTGGGAGAGTTATTATTGCTGGCCATTGTTTCTGCTTCAGGTGGCAAAACACCCTGTGTACCCCTCTGGGCTTCTTTCTTGTATCAAACTGGGTATGAGAGGGGAAAAAATCCTTGTAGTGACACAGCATGTTAAAGAAGGAGAGGGGGCCAAGTTTACCCTCCTGTTCCTGCATTTCTTAGCTTTTAGAAAACATACGACCTCCTCTACTTTAGATGTGAATGGCAGAACATGTGTATTTCCCACCACAAGCAGTTTAGCCCCATAGCTGTGAAGAGCTTTAAGTATACCTTTCAAGGAAACCAGGGCCCCGGTCACACAGGCCGGATATCGCGGGGGGGAGGCGTGGCTAATTGCCCCGGCGCAGTTTGATGCACGATTACGCGATCAGACACACCAGCGGCACACCACGGGTCCTTCCCTTGGCGCCGGTGGGTAAACAAGGGACCGGAAGGGAATGCCGCAAGCCGACGCAATCACACCACGGGCGTCTGGAGACAGCATGTGGCAAAACTTTACTAGTACCTTGGAGGCACTAGTTTTTTAAGGCGCACTGTCGGCGGTAAGCCACAGGTGCGCTCCACTTTCCAGATGTTGGAGTGTGATCGCGCCCGGATAATCCGCCCACCATCTGTGCCTCTCCCGCGGCAACTTTGCTGTGAGACTGGGGCCCAGGTCAAGGAACAACTGTACCTGTGTTGATGAGTCCAAGGATGCAGAGTGTGATGGAAATATTGGTGTTCTGGATAACAAATTCCTGCCTCAAGGAGCTGAAAAATCCATCTAGAGCAAACTTCTAGAGCTCTAGAGAAAGGAACAACTGTACCTGTGTTGATGAGTCCAAGGATGCAGAGTGTGATGGAAATATTGGTGTTCCGGATAACAAATTCCTGCCTCAAGGAGCTGAAAAATCCATCTAGAGCAAACTTCGCGGTAGCATAGGGAACCATGAATGGGAAGCCAATTTTGCCTGGAAACACAGCAACAGCACAGAGTAAGTAAATTCCATTATGGTCCTGAAGGTGACAGTGTATGTGTCATTACACTAGTCCGGTGATTTCAGTGGCTCAGAAGCCAAATGTGGCTCTTTTGAGCACTGTTGCCCAATATGGCACCCACCCTCTATTTCAGGACAGTGGGCAAGGCCTAGGTGGAGCTCATGGTCAGTAGGTAGCTATCACCTTGAAATAGCTGCCGCCAGAGAGACTAGAGTAAAAGTAAGCTGTGAGCCTCCCTGAGGTGCGTGCCTCAAGCTAGGCATGGAAGTAAAAGGCCTGTCCTCTGCAACACTCCCCACCCTTCTCTGCAAATGCCATGCTCTCATCCCACCACTTCTGCAGCTGTCAGGAAGACACCAAAGCCCATTATGCATGGGTCTTTTCTCTTGCTTTCACTGTGCATGTCTGTCAGGTTTTCTTTGTCCTTCTGCATTCATTTCCTTTCCTTCAGTGCTCAGTTGGCTTTCTGGTTGCTGTTTCCCTGGGTTTTCTAAGAGTGCTTTTGTGCCAATTTCCCCCTTGTTTTGCTTCCAAGCTGAAGGTAATTCAAAAGCATACAGATTCCTTCTGATTTCACCCCCACCTTTTTGCCACTCCTTGAGGGTAACTCCCTGCCCACATCGAGGTTGTTCTTCCCATTCTGCACCTTCCTCCATCTTCCTCTCTTTATCAGTGTACAAACTCCATTTCCCCCTAGTTTTTTATTTTTTTGACAGGCAGCATGAGTCTAGTGATAGTTTTTTATTTTTTGACAGGCAGCATGAGTCTAGTGATATGAGACTATTGAAAAAATTAAAACAATGGGAGAAGAAGAAGAGTTGGATTTATAACCTGCCCTTCACTTGGAGTCTCAGAGCAGCTTACAATCTCCTTTCCCTTCCTCTCCCCACAACAGACACCATGTGAGGTAAGTGGGGCTAAGAGAGCTCTGAGAGAACTGCTCTTGAGAGAACAGCTCTAAGAGAACGGTGACTGACCCAAGGTCACCCAGCTGGCTGCATGTGTAGGCGTTTAAAAGGAGCTGCATGAGGTTTAGTCCTTGAAAGGGGGGATCAGAGAGGAGGGAAATGGCAGCGTCCCCTGTGCAGTGGGGGGGGGAAGGATTTCAGTGTTGCATGCGAACAAAATAAATGAGGAGATCATCAGTGCAAAATGAAATTGACATGAGATGTAAAGAGAGAGACTGGGATGGGAAGCATAAAGCTTTGGAAACATTTTATCCTTTTAATACTTTAGTAAACAAAGGTCCCTGCCACACGGGACGGCTGAAACGCGGCTAATCAGAACCGCACCAAACTTGAGACGCCGCAGCAGGATCCCATGGATCCCCTCAGCCGCGGCGCATCGCTCCCCGGCATGATCAGATGCCGGGGAGCAAGAGTCCGATGGGAGGGGGAGGCTGCCGAACTGCGCACGCTCGAGCATGCGCAGTACGGCTGGGGGCCGAGAT